ATCTTACTTGTCTTTCCAATGACAATTTTAAAAAAAAAAAAAAAACAATACCGTGCTGGAAAACGATCACAAATAACCCGACATAGAAGAGTCAGACCGAAATGTTGTCGTAAGTCCTTCTTCTTGTGGGGTTTTTGGTAATGACAATGTTTTTTGGGGGGGGGGGTCTGAAGAAAAGTTGTTGGTAAATTTGGGAAGTGCATAAAAAAGAAAAAAAATTTAAAAAAGTGAACTAGAAAAGAGCTTGAGATAGAGCAAAAAAAACCTAGGAAATAGAAGATCGATATCAGATTTGAGGGAGTGTTAAAAAAGGGAATGAAAAAGATATTTGGGAGTGGACATGTAACAGAAAAGTCATAAAAGACAGGGTGAACCACAGGAGGGACAAGGAAAAAAGGTAATTTGTGTTTTTTAGGCATCTGTGGACAGAAAAAATTTATTTAAAGGAAAAAAGGGAAATGTCAGTGTTGTGTACCAACACTTTTACTTGGATGTAAAACACGATTTTTAAATGTTGCAGCAAGGGGGGAAGCTGTAAGCAAGAATGAAGAAGTCATGTTAAAGAGCAATTTTTTTTTTTTTTTTTTTTTTATTATCCACGGGCCCGTTTCCCCACAAAGCGGGTGGCCCCGAAAAAGAAAAACTTTCCCCATCATTCACCCTCACTGTTTGCCAGAAGGGTGCTTTCACTACGTTTTTAAACTGCAACATTAAACCCCCCCTTAGATGCAGGCACTGTACTTCCCATCTCCAGGACTCAAGAGAAATGTGTTGTTGAATATTAGCAAAAAATATGAAGCATAGAAGCAGAATGGCCAACAGAGAGTGCTAATTTGGGGCTAAAAAGGAGTGCGCAGTATCCAAAAAGAATTTGAGGGAAAAAGTAAAGAGTTGAGTTTTTTTTTGACCTTAAGTATCCCGCGGTTGTGGGGTTTGTTAGATCAAAGGGGACAAATGGTTTTTAAGATTCTACATGCTGCTGGAATGTGAACAAGAAAAATTTACAAGGGATTCAGGGAAAACCCGTTTGCTGGACCCAAAAACCTAGAAGTGGAGAAGTGAGTGTTACACTCAGAAAAGGGGCTGCAGATATTTAGTTTTTGAAGGTCAATTTAAACCTTAAAACTGTCAAAACGTAGATTAGTCCCCGTGAGGGGGCTCCGAATGTAGATTATTTTTTTTTTTTTTTCATGCTTTCAATGGGGAAAATCAGGTCGGAGCGTACGCATGCGAAGAGACTCATGTGGAAGTTTGGGTTAAAAATGTAAAGTATAGTATTTGGCAAGATATGTGAACAAATGATAATGAATGTTTCAATTTTGGAGTCACCTTACTTTGTGGACAGCTCAGCAGTAAAAAAATTACAGGAAACTAAAAAGAAGTAAAAAATAATGACTAGGCTGGGTTTGTTCTATAAGTTCAATTCTAGCATAAATACCAAAATTATGTAAAGCTATTTCAGTTTCCCTTTTGCGCCTGTGCAAAGCTTGCATATAAATAAAGATCAGAGCTATTAAAAATGAAAAACCCATGTTAAAGCTTACATAAATGTTGATGATATTTGCTATCAAGTGCAGCAAAAAAAACATTATACATTTGAGTGCAAAACAAAGTTACAGTTGTTTCAGGGATTAATTATTTTTTCCCCATATGAGACTTCTTTTACACTCCAATTGTTCTAAAAACATGGCAATTTTATTTGGCTTATCTTAATTTTGGGGGAAACTAATTGAAAGCAGAAATTTGGTGATTATTAGGTTATGATGAAATTAAATTAAATTTTCCCACACCCTTTAAATAAATATTTAAATAAAATAAAGAAATTACAATCTGTGATGAAAAGATAATAATAAGACAAAAGAAAATTTATGTAAATTTAACAATAATTATTCAAAAAAATCATTTTTTTTAAAACTATCTCCCCATTTTTTTTCCCCCATCAAATATAAAATAACATTAAAACCCCTTTCACAAAAAACCATTACAAAAACTTCCCCACCCCCCTCCCCCAATCCCCAAATAAACCACAAAAAAATTATTTCCATTCACTAATAAAAACCAACTAAAATTCTTTAAAACTTTAAAACAAAACAAAAAAAATAAAATATAACCATTTAAAACCAACCTTTTAATTACCATAATTTGGGGGAAAAAACAAAACATTAAGGGGTTTTCTTTATCTTTATCCTTTTTTTCCAAGTCAGGGAAAAAAAGTTTTAACACAAAAACTTAACAATTAATTTTCTTTTCAATATTATCATTGGCTCTTCATACAACCACTAAACCTTAAAGCATATTTTTTTACTCAAAAGAAAAATGATTTTTTTGCAAAACCCCCTTTAAAAAAAACCCTTTTCCCCTAAAAACACACTTTTCCCATCACCTCGCACAACACCACAAAATTTAATTTATTTTTTTACACTAAAAACTTTATCCCCAACAATTAACAATAAATCAATTAGGGGGAAAAAATTCTCTCTTTTTCTTCCAAACACAAAAATTATCTTGGGATTTTATTTTTTTATAAATTATTATTAACACATAAAATTTTAGATTAGTTTATTATTTTTTTTGTAAAAATTTTAAAAAAATTTTAAAACCAATAAGGAGAACTTAAAACCACAAACTCCCACTTTTTAAAATATTCTTAACTTTTTTAAAAAATCAATAGGGAGGTTTTGGCGGTTTTAACAAAAAACCCAAACCCCCAAACTCTTTTAAATACCCCAACCAAAACTCTTTCCCCTAAAGGGGAAAAAAAAACCCAACCCCCAAAAACAAAAAATTAAAACAAAAAACATCTATTAAAACCAATTTTTTTTTAAATAATGTTTTAAGAAAAATTATAAAAGTGAGGGGAAAAATCCTCATTCCTTTTTTTGGTGGAAACCAGAAAATTTGAAAAATTTTTAAAAAGAAAATAAAAATTATTCTTGTTAACTGAAAAATTCGTTTAACACGGATTCTTTTTTCTTTTTCCTTAAAAAAAATTTTTCAAATTGCTAATTTTTCTTTTTTTTGTGGGGTGGGGGGAAAAAAAGGGGGGGGGAAGGGAAATTGAGGGGGGAAAAAGGGGGGGGGGAGGGGAAGGGGAGAGAAGAGAAAAAAAAAAAAAGGGGGGGAAAAGAAGGCAGGAAAGAGGGAAAAGAAGGGGAAGGAGAAAACAGAAGGGGAGAAAAGGAAGGGGGGAGGAGAAGGGGGGAGGGGAGAAGAGAAAGAAGGGAAGGGGGGAGGAGAATGGGGAGGGGGGAAAAGAAGGGAGGGAGAGGGAAAAAAAGGAAAGGGGAGGGAAAGGGGAAAAGGGGAGTAAAGAAGAGGAGCTAAGAGGGGGGTAGGAGGGAGGGGATGGCGTGGGGTAAAAAAAGGGGGGTTGGGGGGGCTGGGAGGGGAAAAAGGGTGCGGAAAAGGGGGGGGAGGGGGGAAAGGGGGGGGGGGGGGGGGGGGGGGGGGGGGGGGGGGGGGGGGGGGGGGGGGGGGGGGGGGGAAGGGGGGGGGTGGGGGGGGGGGGGAAAAAAGGGGGGGCGGGAAAAAAAGGGTCGAATTCCCTACACAAACCTTGTGCTTGAAAGGAAAAATTTCCAAGTTTGGGTCCAACTTGGACCACAGCAAAAAGGGGGGAGGAGAAGGAATTGGAGGGGGTGGGAGAAAGAAAAAGGAAAAGTCAAGAAAAGGGTTAAGAGAAAGAAGGTTAATAGGAGAGTGGAGGGTGTAGGGTTTAAACTTGTTTGACAAATCAATAAAGGGAAAATATTTGAGTTTCCAGTTCTTTTTTTCATCGCTTTTTGATCAAATGTATCATTGAAAACAAAAAAGAATGAGCTTGCTCGAAATTTATATAACTTGGAATACCCCCAGCCCCCTAAAGCTCAGATTTTTTTTTAAATATTGTTTTTTTGTAATCAGTGCTTTATTGTACTATACTTAAGTCTACTGTAATTAGTCATCTTGCTTGTATTTGTTTTTTGTGTTAAGTCACACGATGGGTGGGATTACATAAAATAATGATAATTTCTTTCCTTTTCTGGTATACACTAAGCAGAGGATAGATGTTATGTTGTCTTCTCTCACCTGAGTTTGTTTAACATGAAGCACAAAACTCATCAACACATTGAGAAGAATACGAATCACAATAATGTGGTTGGATTAATTAACTCATAATGGTTCAGGTTGGGCTAATAATACCCTCTAATGATTTATCTCTGGTTTGTGCACATTGAGAAATTTAGTTGGCATAGTGGTTACATTTGCCAAAATAAATGGAACAAAAACAAAAGATCCCCAAATATATGCTTCCAAAATGACCATTAAAGCACTACAATGCTGAATTTCAATAGGCACCATTCTCAAATTATTTTTTAAAAAAGAAAACACAAAATAAAGCAGGCCAAATATCTTGGCATCCATACTAAGGATACACGAAACCAAAATAAACAGACAGATGCACACCTGTGTCCTAGAGATTCACAATTAACATAGATGCACACTTGGGTCCCAGGGATTATCTGACATATGGTAGTAATTGCACATCAGGATATTAACAAATGCAAGTGACTGAAAGAAGTGGAAGTAGATTCAGATGAAGGACCAGAAGTAAGAAGTAATGTTATAACTGAAGGGTGTTGGAAGAACAAATTTGGATGGCAGGAAAGAGTTTTCCAGTGTAATTTACTTGAACCATATTCTAGGACTAGCCTACTAAATAAGAGAAACTGCTTTTCAAATTAACTTATAAAAATGATGCTATGTGTAAAAATATATAAGCAAATACTGAGAACTCTTGAAGAAAAAATATAACTGTGTAATTTGCATACTGAAACTACTAGTTACTAAAATATTTAACTGAAAGCAAAAACTACTTCTATTTCTTAAATATAATTGGCTCATTTAAAGGTTTTGTTGGTAGTTAAAAAGTGTTAATATGTTTACTGGATTGAATTCTTCTGCTTGGCAGTAGTAAAGAATTCATTCAGTGAAAAATGACTGTCAGCTCTGACACTGACCTTGGGGAAACTTTGGCACCGTCAGGGCCGCCAGCATTATTGGCTTTGTACCCTGACTTTTGAATTTTCTTGGACAACCGTGAGACCCAGTTCTGTAAAAAAAAAAAAAAATGAAAACATTATTTCACAACTAAACTCTCGCATCTGCGAGCCTCTGGCAAGACAGTGTAAATGATGGTGAAGGTGTTTCTTTTTCAAGTCATCTTGCTTAGGTGGGAGATGCCAGAATAAAAAAAAAATTAAGCAAAGTAAAACAGTCTATATAGGTAGTAGGTAGTAGACAGCAACCGCCCAGGGAGGTACTACTGTCCTGCCAAGTGACTGTAAAACGGAAACTTGTAATTGTTTTACATGATGGTAGAATTGCTGGTGTCTTTTTTTTGTCTCATAAACATGCAAGGTTTCAGGTACTCCTTGCTACTTCTACTTACACTTAGGTCACACTAAACATGCATGTACAAGCATATATATACACACACACCCTCTGAGTTTTCTTCTATTTTTCTTACTAGTTCTTGTAGTGGAGGGAAGGTGAGGTAGGGGTGGGCCAAGGAAAGGTTGGAGGGAGGGGGTAAAGTAGGTTTTGTGTGTGAGGGGCTTGCAGTTCCAGCAAGTGTGCATGAGCATGTTAGATAGGAGCAAATGGAGACAAATGGTTTTTAGGACTTGATGTGCTGTTGGAGTGTAAGCAAGGTAACATTTACGAAGGGATTAAGGGAAACCGGCAGGCCGGACTTGATTCCTGTAGATGGGAAGTACAGTGGTGGTACTCTGAAGGAGGGGTGTTAATGTTGCAGTTTTATAACTGTAGTGTAAGCATGCCTCTGGCAAGACAGTGATGGAGTGAATGATGATGAAAGTTTCTTTTTTCGGGTCACCCTGCCTCGGTGGGAAACGGCCGATGTGTTAATAAAAAAAAAAAAATCTTGTTCTTGTTTATTTCCACTTATCTTCATGGAGAAGTGAAACATAACTGTTCCTCCATAAGACACATGTGTCGTAAGAGGCAACTAAAATGCTGGGAGCAAAGGGCTAGTAATCCCTTCTCCTGTATACATTACTAAATTTAAAAAGAGAAGCTTTTGTAATAAAAAAAAAAAAGTCAACACCTCTAATGAAAAATCTGGGTATTAACTCCCATTAACTGAGACTGTTGAGTGTTATGCCAGTCTTTTGCATTCAGCTGGCACTTCTGACCATAAGCACACCCCACAGATTAATGCCTAGTTTTAGCTTATGTAAAAAATACATATCTTACCTGTTGACTTTCAACTGTAGGAGCCAGTAGTAACAGTTCCTTTGCTGTGTTTAAATCATAGCTAATTTTACATGGGGCCACTAGATCCTCTTTGCGTTCCAAATGGTCCCGGTGAATCTTCAATCGACACCCTATGCATATAAAATGACCAATAAAATATCAATATTGCAATCAGACTGTATCAGTTAATTCCTGTATATTTTACAATCTCTAGGACTTAAAAGCATACCCAAACGTAACTGCTTTTTTTCCAGAACACTGCAACTACATATATTCAAAATCTGAAAAGCAAACATTGAAGTACAGCCTCTCCTTAGTGACGTACTAGTTTACTCACCACTCGGACTTACGACCAGCTCTCCAACCAGTATGCAAACCTAAATAATGTAAATTAGAGCTGATTTCCTCTATTCTCTTCATTACAGTATACAGTAAACTACTGGATAAACATTTAAAAAATACCAAAAATGTGCAAACATTAAAAAATATCTAAAGATGGTTGACACAAACCCACTACCAGTTTAGTATGCTCCTCGCTTAACAACCAATTCGCTTATCAACCTACTCTTAGGAATGGAACCCCATTGTTAAGTGAGGAGAGGCAGTACTGTATAATAAAATTTTGTTATTCATAGTTGTGTTTACATAACTCGACAATTCACAGCATATGTATATTTATGTATATTTAGGTAGTAGGTTGGTAGACAGCAACCGCCCAGGGAGGTACTACCGTCCTGCCAAGTGAGTGTAAAACGAAAGCCTGTAATTGTTTTACATGATGGTAGGATTGCTGGTGTCCTTTTTTTCTGTCTCATAAACATGCAAGATTTCAGGTACGTCTTGCTACTTCTACTTACACTTAGGTCACACTACACATGCATGTACAAGCATATATATGTATATATACACATCCCTCTGGGTTTTCTTCTATTTTCTTTCTAGTTCTTGTTGTTCTTTATTTCCTCTTATCTCCATGGGGAAGTGGAACAGAATTCTTCCTCCGTAAGCCATGCGTGTTGTAAGAGGCGACTAAAATGCCAGGAGCAAGGGGCTAGTAACCCCTTCTCCCGTATAAATTACTAAATTTAAAAAGAGAAACTTTCGTTTTTCTTTTTGGGCCACCCTGCCTTGGTGGGATACGGCCGGTTTGTTGAAAAAAAAAAAAAATGTATATTTTGTAGGTAGTAGGTTGGTAGACAGCAACCACCCAGGGAGGTACTACCGTCCTGCCAAGTGAGTGTAAAACGAAAGCCTGTAATTGTTTTACATGATGGTAGGATTGCTGGTGTCCTTTGTCTGTCTCATAAATATGCAAGATTACAGGTACGTCTTGCTACTTCTACTTACACTTAGGTCACACTACACATACATGTACATGTTTATTTATACACACTCATCTGAGTTTTCTTTGATTTTATCTTAATAGTTCTTGGTCTTATTACTTTTCCTTTTATATCCATGGGGAAGTGGAATAAGAATCTTTCCTCTGTAAGCCATGCGTGTTGTAAAAGTCAACTAAAATGCCGGGAACAATGGGCTAGTAACCCCTTTTCCTGTAAAGATTACTAAAAAGAATAAGAAGAAGAAAATTGTCAAAGTGGGAAGTCTGAATGTGTGTGGATGTTGTGTAAATGATAAGAAAGAGATGATTGTGGATGTTATAAATGAGAAGAAACTGGATGTCCTGGCTTTAAGTGAAACAAAGCTGAAAGGGGTGGGAGAGTTTCAATGGAGAGGAATAAATGGGATTAGGTCAGGGGTTTCAAACAGAGTTAGAGCTAAAGAAGGAGTAGCAATAATGTTGAAGGATAAGCTATGGCAGGAAAAGAGGGACTACAAATGTATAAATTCAAGGATTATGTGGAGTAAAATAAAGATTGGACGTGAAAAGTGGGTTATAGTAAGCGTGTATGCACCTGGAGAAGAGAGAAGTGTAGAGGAGAGAGAGAGATTCTGGGAAATGTTGAGTGAATGCGTGGGGAGTTTTGAATCAAGTGTGAGAGTAATGGTGGTTGGGGATTTCAATGCTAAAGTGGGTAAAAATGTTATGGAAGGAGTAGTAGGTAAATTTGGGCTGCCAGGGGTAAATGTAAATGGGGAGCCTTTAATTGAGCTATGTGTAGAAAGAAATTTGGTAATAAGTAATACATATTTTATGAAAAAGAGGATAAATAAATATACAAGGTATGATGTAGCACGTAATGAAAGTAGTTTGTTAGATTATGTATTGGTGGATAAAAGGTTGATGGGTAGGCTCCAGGATGTACATGTTTATAGAGGGGCAACTGATATATCAGATCATTATTTAGTTGTAGCTACAGTTAGAGTAAGAGGTAGATGGGAAAAGAGGAAGGTGGCAACAACAAGTAAGAGGGAGCTGAAAGTGTATAAACTAAGGGAGGAGGAGGTTCGGGCGAGATATAAGCGACTATTGGCAGAAAGGTGGGCTAGTGCAAAGATGAGTAGTGGGGGGGTTGAAGAGGGTTGGAATAGTTTTAAAAATGCAGTATTAGAATGTGGGGCAGAAGTTTGTGGTTATAGGAGGTGGGGGCAGGAGGAAAGAGGAGTGATTGGTGGAATGATGAAGTAAAGGGTGTGATAAAAGAGAAAAAGGTAGCTTACGAGAGGTTTTTACAAAGCAGAAGTGTTATAAGAAGAGCAGAGTATATGGAGAGTAAAAGAAAGGTGAAGAGAGTGGTGAGAAAGTGCAAAAGGAGAGCAGATGAAAGAGTGGGAGAGGCACTGTCAAGAAATTTTAATGAAAATAAGAAAAAATTTTGGAGTGAGTTAAACAAGTTAAGAAAGCCTAGGGAAAGTATGGATTTGTCCGTTAAAAACAGAGTAGGGGAGTTAGTAGATGGGGAGAGGGAGGTATTACGTAGACGGCGAGAATATTTTGAGGAACTTTTAAATGTTGAGGAAGAAAGGGAGGCGGTAATTTCATGCACTGGCCAGGGAGGTATACCATCTTTTAGGAGTGAAGAGCGGAATGTAAGTGTGGTGGAGATACGTGAGGCATTACGTAGAATGAAAGGGGGTAAAGCAGCTGGAACTGATGGGATCATGACAGAAATGTTAAAAGCAGGGGGGGATATAGTGTGGGAGTGGTTGGTACTTTTGTTTAATAAATGTATGAAAGAGGGGAAGGTACCTAGGGATTGGCGGAGAGCGTGTATAGTTCCTTTATATAAAGGGAAAGGGGACAAAAGAGATTGTAAAAATTATAGAGGAATAAGTTTACTGAGTATACCAGGAAAAGTATACGGTAGAGTTATAATTGAAAGAATTAGAGGTAAGACAGAATGTAGAATTGCGGATGAGCAAGGAGGCTTCAGAGTGGGTAGGGGATGTGTAGATCAAGTGTTTACATTGAAGCATATATGTGAACAGTATTTAGATAAAGGTAGGGAAGTTTTTATTGCATTTATGGATTTAGAAAAGGCATATGATAGAGTGGATAGAGGAGCAATGTGGCAGATGTTGCAAGTTTATGGAATAGGTGGTAAGTTACTAAATGCTGTAAAGAGCTTTTATGAGGATAGTGAGGCTCAGGTTAGGGTGTGTAGAAGAGAGGGAGACTACTTCCCGGTAAAAGTAGGTCTTAGACAGGGATGTGTAATGTCACCATGGTTGTTTAATATATTTATAGATGGGGTTGTAAAAGAAGTAAATGCTAGGGTGTTCGGGAGAGGGGTGGGATTAAATTATGGGGAATCAAATTCAAAATGGGAATTGACACAGTTACATTTTGCTGATGATACTGTGCTTATGGGAGATTCTAAAGAAAAATTGCAAAGGTTAGTGGATGAGTTTGAGAATGTGTGTAAAGGTAGAAAGTTGAAAGTGAACATAGAAAAGAGTAAGGTGATGAGGGTATCAAATGATTTAGATAAAGAAAAATTGGATATCAAATTGGGGAGGAAGAGTATGGAAGAAGTGAATGTTTTCAGATACTTGGGAGTTGACGTGTCGGCGGATGGATTTATGAAGGATGAGGTTAATCATAGAATTGATGAGGGAAAAAAGGTGAGTGGTGTGTTGAGGTATATGTGGAGTCAAAAAACGTTATCTATGGAGGCAAAGAAGGGAATGTATGAAAGTATAGTAGTACCAACACTCTTATATGGATGTGAAGCTTGGGTGGTAAATGCAGCAGCGAGGAGACGGTTGGAGGCAGTGGAGATGTCCTGTCTAAGGGCAATGTGTGGTGTAAATATTATGCAGAAAATTCGGAGTGTGGAAATTAGGAGAAGGTGTGGAGTTAATAAAAGCATTAGTCAGAGGGCAGAAGAGGGGCTGTTGAGGTGGTTTGGTCATTTAGAGAGAATGGATCAAAGTAGAATGACATGGAAAGCATATAAATCTATAGGGGAAGGAAAGAGGGGTAGGGGTCGTCCTCGAAAGGGTTGGAAAGGGGGTAAAGGAGGTTTTGTGGGCAAGGGGCTTGGACTTCCAGCAAGCGTGCATGAGCGTGTTAGATAGGAGTGAATGGAGACAAATGATACTTGGGACCTGACGATCTGTTGAAGTGTGAGCAGGGTAATATTTAGTGAAGGGATTCAGGGAAACCGGTTATTTTCTTATAGTCGGACTTGAGTCCTGGAAATGGGAAGTACAATGCCTGCACTTTAAAGGAGGGGTTTGGGATATTGGCAGTTTGGAGGATTATGTTGTGTATCTTTATACGTATATGCTTCTAAACAGTTGTGTTCTGAGCACCTCTGCAAAAACAGTGATAATTTGTGAGTGTGGTGAAAGTGTTGAATGATGATGAAAGTATTTTCTTTTTGGGGATTTTCTTTCTTTTTTGGGTCACCCTGCCTCGGTGGGAGACGGCCGACTTGTTGGGAAAAAAAAAAAAAAAATGTATATTTATTTATTTGTGAAGGGATTCAGGGAAACCGGTTAGCCAGACTTAAGTTTTGGAAATGGGAAGTACAATGCCTACACTTTAAAGGAGGGGTTTAGGATATTGGCAGTTTGGAGGAATGTCTAAACTGTCGTATCTGAACATCTCTGCAAAGACAGTGATTGTGTATGAGTGATGGTGAAAGTCACCATCCGAAACACTATCACCTGCCATCTCTTTATCCTTGATCCACACCAGCAACAACTTCTCAACCTAATCGACTGTCTATGGTCTATTTTTGGTTAGCATATCAACACCTGTCGCAACATCAACTTCCTTGATTTGTTCTTTCTTTGCCAGGATAGAAGCGATGGTTGACTTGTTTTTGCCATACATCCTGGCAAGCTCAACAAGTCTCACACCACTCTCATACTTCTGTATTATTTCCTTCTTCATGTCTATGGCGTTTCTCACTTTCTTTACCACAGGGACACCACTAGCAAGTTTCTCTGGCCCATGGTAGCTTATTTCACAGTCGCACAAGCACTAAACACAATGAATTAATAGTGAAATGTTTGAATGAATGTGCAGGTTAGTGTTCACTCAAGCATCAATAAAGCCAGACTGCTCATGACGCCTGCACGGGGATGCGGACAGAGCAGGCTGGCGGACAGGTCCGGTACCCAGCGGTTCGAAAGACGAGTAGAGTTTGATACTTGGAACAAAATTGGTTAGAAAAAAGCAGTCGAAACTCGAAAAGTTCAATAACTGGTATATTCAAAACTCGAGGGTCCACTGTACAAAGTCACACTAACAGAAAGAAGGGGGCAGTATATATATATAGTATAGGCCAGCAGACAGGGTTAGGACAAAGAGGTAGTGGAAGGGAAGTAGAGGTAGTGATAGTAGTAGTGTAATCAGTCAAATACTAAGAAAGAAGAGCACTGCAGGAGAGCTAAAGGCCCACAGGGGTGGGGGGGAAAACACCCAAGGCAGAAATAAAAAAAAAAAAAAAAAAGGGGAAGAAAAAGGAAAGGCAAAGAGGGAGAATGATAAAAAAAAAAAAAAAAAAAAACAGGTTAAGTCACAGGTGTTCTGAAGTTTGGAGCATTTTACAGTGTAATGGGAAAGAAAAGCATCAACAGAGACAAAACCAGGACTAAGATTCACACAAGGAAAGTCATGTATAAGGGAGGATTCAACTAGATGGCGACTGTGAAAGTTAGAAGTAGGGTAGACAGTTTTAGCAGAAGACTAGTCAATAGGATGACTGTGATCTCTGACGACAGAAAAAGAGCATTGTTGGTGTCGGAAAGCCTAACACTACTTTTGTGTTCTCCGAGTCTGTCAGAAAGAAAACAGCCAGTTTCTCCAAAGTACTGAAGAGAACAAGAGGAACAGGAAATAGAGTAGACACCAACAGCATCTACAGAGGGAAGAGAGGTATGAACTAGATTGTTGCAAAGAGTGTTAGTCTGGAGAAAAGTAAGTTTGATGTCTAAAAAATGGAGAGAGTTGTCAAGATTAGAGAAAATCTGGAAATATAATGAAGGCAGAGAACAGATGAGTTCCAAGGAGTAGAGAGTTTGGGAGAGAAAAAAGTTCATTAAGCATGTGAGAAGGCAGAGTTTATGAAATGGGAATGTATATCTTAGTATTACTGATTGCAAAAAAGATTTAGGAGTTCTGGTTAGCAGTTACCTAAAACCAAGACAACAGTGCTTAAGTGTTCGCAATAAAGCAAACAGAATTCTTGGCTTCATATCAAAAAGTATAAATAACAGAAGTCCTCAGGTTACTCTTCAACTCTATATATCTTTGGTTAGGCTTCATTTAGATTACGCTGCACAGTTCTGGTCACCGTATTACAGAATGGATATAAATGCACTGGAAAACTTACAAAGGAGGATGACAAAGTTGATCCCGTGTATCAGAAATCTTTCCTATGAGGATAGACAGAGGGCCCTGAATGTGCACTCTCTAGAAAGGCGTAAACTTAGAGAGGATATGACTGAGGTGTATAAATGGAAAACAAGAATAAATAAAGGGAATGTAACTAATGTGCTAAGGGTATCTAGCCAAGATAGGACTCACAGCAATGGTTTGAAGATGGAAAAATTTAGATTCAGGAAGAATACAGGAAAGCAATGGTTTGGTAATAGAGTTGTGGACGAGTGGAACAAACTCCAGAGTACCGTCATAGAAGCTAAAACCTTGTGTAGTTTTAAAAATAGGTTAGATAAATACATGAGTGGGTGTGGGAAGGACCTAATAGCTTGTGCTAATAGGTCTGATGCCGTGTTCCTTCCTTAGGTGATGTGACCCGACCTGACTAGGTTCGGTCAGTGGCTTAAGTCGGTAGGTGACCTGGACCTGCCTCACATAAGCCAGTAGGTCTGCTGCAGTGTTCCTTCTCTTTTATGTTCTTAATACCATACACAAGCAAGTCACTCATTTTACAATAAAATGCGAAAATTCAGTGTTTGATTAGCACATCAGATGGCCTTGAGTGTCATGGATTTAGTAACCTATGTGTGTTTAAGAAGATAACCCTCATGAACAACAGTTTTCCTGTACTCATTATAAAATTCTACATGATCATCTTGTTTTAATACACATGAAAGTAATAACACTAGTTTCCAAGGATAATCATAAGAGGAAAATAGAAAATGCACAAAGGTAAAACAGATAAGACAGACTAAGATAAAAATCAGAAAAAAAAAAATTCATACACCATGTGCAAAACAATACATTTTGTGTTGCACAGCCAATATGAAGGAAAAGCACTATTTTTTTAAAGATAAAATTATATATAGTTAAATTTCAAAAACTTTCACTGTGAAAGCAATGTAGAGATAAAAACATTACAGCAGGTTCTAATTCTTAGTACTACATTTTTTATAACACAAGGAATAATGGCACCTGGACAGGGAAACAATCTTGATTTGTATTCTTCCAAGAACTCATGAAGCACTAAATATACAGAATCTGAGAGAAACATATTTAATGGATTTAAAAATTAGGTTTCAGAAAGAAAGAATTATTTCTGTACTGTACTAAGGAATGAGGTTTTAAAAAATATGAACTCTAGATCTACCACTTCTCAAAATGCATATCTAGTAATAAAATAACAAGTCTCAACTGACTTACTTCTGCACTCAAGAGCTGGCGGGGGTTTGAACATGTGCCACAAATGTCGTTGACAGACTTCACAGTTGGTAGGCATATGGAAGCTAATGGCTAGAAATTCATGGCCTTTGTGGACTAGAGTCCCTGCTTTATCTGGACCTGCACCCTCATGGAGAGCCAAAGGACCAGGGGTATCACCAGGCTTCCGACTTTCTCCCTCTCCAGCATATAACAGCTGCAAGATTTATACATAAACTGTTAAATTAATAAGATTTCTATAAATAAAAAAAACATATAATAAATAAGATATCCACACTCACAGCTTCCTACCTACACACACATTCCTATTTACTGTATACAACTGCACACTCAAACCCATTCACCCCCTCCTCAATCCATCCCCCGGCATGAAGAGAGATTATTGACTGTCTTTCCCACTGCAAAATATGAGTCAACTGTTTATGTAATTCCATTAAATAACTTATATTTATTATTAGCAACAGTTTTGACCATGTAGAGACTGAAGCACTGTACACTGAATGTGGTAACACTTTTCTATTTGCAGGATAGGTTACCTGTAATATCCATTCAGTAAAATTCTAATCCTATCATATTAATTTAGTTCTGTTCCTAAAATATTTATGGCTACATATATCTTTTTCTTTTACCTCAATTGCCATTTCCTGCAAAGGCAGGGTGACCTAAAGACAATAAATTTGTCATTAATTCATTTTGAATATGGCTTTCCAGAGATATGTTGACTTCACAATTCAGACTACATACCCTCTAGCTGCAACATCTCCACCCTCTCCTTCAGACTGCAGGCACTACCCTTCTCTCCTCCAGGACTTGACTCTGGCTAACAAGGTTCCAGGAACCCTTTGCTCACACTCCAACAGCATGTTCATTTAAAGCCACTTAATTCCATTCACTCCTGTCTAACACACACTTGCAAGCCTGCTGGATGCTTAAACACAAAACTTTAAAGCTTCTTTACCACCTCCCTCTAATCATTTTTGAGTTGACCCCAACCCTTCCTGCCCTCCACCTTAGATTCAAGCCCTCTGTAATCCTATCCTCCTCCAACATCTCCACATCCCCAAACCACCTTAACAACCCCTCATCTCCCTGAATTACACTCTATATGACCCCCACATTGCCTTTTAACTTCTATGCTCCAAATTCTCTACATGATATTCATGACATGCACTGCTCTCAAACATGACATCTATACTGCTTTTTAGCCTCCTTAAAATTCATGAAATATGCTTAAAAAAAAAACTAATTAAGAGAGGGGCTTTCACAGAGGATAGCAGACAATAAAAGTATGTCAGGATAGTGAAGAGGAGGCCAAAAATAAAGGTATTGTGGTCTTTGATAAAATAGGATAATTAGTCAACAGACACTGGACTTTCATGCTGACAATGCTTGGCAATGCCAGGAACCACTACACAATAACCACTTGAGTCAATTTTCTTTTTTTTTTTACAAGTCGGCCGTCTCCCACTGGGGCAGGGTGACCCAAAATAGAAAAAATCCCCAAAAAGAAAATACTTTCATTATCATTCAACACTTTCACCTCACTCACACATAATCACTGTTTTTGCAGAGGTGCCCAGAATACAACAGTTTAGAAGCATATACGTATAAAGATACACAACATATCCCTCCAAACTGCCAATATTCCAAACCCCTCCTTTACAGTGCAGGCATTGTACTTCCCATTTCCAGGACTCAAGTCCGGTTATATAAAAATAACCGGTTTCCCTGAATCCCTTCACTAAATATTACCCTGCTCACACTCCAACAGATCATCAGGTCCCAAATACCATTCGTCTCCATTCACTCCTATCTAACACGCTCACGCACTCTTGCTGGAAGTCCAAGCCCCTCGCCCACAACACCTCCTTTACCCCCTCCCTCCAACCTTTTCGAGGACGACCCCTACTCCGCCTTCCTTCCCCTACAGAGTGGACCCCCACATACCGTCGCCATCACATAACGTACAATCCGCATACCGCTCGCTTTTATCGCAAAAATTTTGCCTCACATACCGCTCAAAAACCCGCTCACCGCTCTTCGTCCGAGACGCGTCCAATGTGCGCCCTTAGCCAGCCTCACATGTGCCGCTGGTGGCATTGTTTACCAGCCTGCCTCCGCGGTAACATCCAAGCATACAATCGGAACATTTCGTATTATTACAGCGTTTTTGGTGATTTTATCTGCCAAATAAGTGACCATGGGCCCCAAGAAAGCTTCTAGTGCCAACCCTACAGCAATAAGGGTGAGAATTACAATAGAGATGAAGAAAGAGATCATTGATAAGTATGAAAGTGGAGTGCGTGTCGCCGACCTGGCCAGGTTGTACAAGAAACCCAAATCAACCATCACTACTATTGTGGGCAACAGAAAGGCAATCAAGGAAGCTGTTCTTGCCAAAGGTTTAACTGTGTTTTCGAAACAGAGATCGCAAGTGATGGAAGATGTTGAGAGACTCTTATTGGGGTGGATAAATGAAAAACAGCTAGCAGGAGATAGCGTTTCTCAAGCGATCATAAGCGAAAAGGCTAGGAAGTTGCATGAGGATTTAATTAAAAAAATGCCTGCAACTAGTGATGATGTGAGTGAATTTAAGGCCAGCAAAGGTTGGTTTGAGAGATTTAAGAAGCGTAGTGGCATACATAGTGTGATAAGGCATGGTGAGGCTGCCAGTTCGGACCACAAAGCAGCTGAAAAATATGTGCAGGAATTCAAGGAGTACATAGACAGTGAAGGACTGAAACCTGAACAAGTGTTTAATTGTGATGAAACAGGCCTGTTTTGGAAGAAAATGCCAAGCAGGACCTACATTACTGAGGAGGAAAAGCCACTCCCAGGACATTTTTTATTTTTTTATTATCACACCGGCCGATTCCCACCAAGGCAGGGTGGCCCGAAAAAGAAAAACTTTCACCATCATTCACTCCATCACTGTCTTGCCAGAAGGGTGCTTTACACTACAGTTTTTAAACTGCAACATTAACACCCCTCCTTCAGAGTGCAGGCACTGTACTTCCCATCTCCAGGACTCAAGTCCGGCCTGCCGGTTTCCCTGAATCCCTTCATAAATGTTACTTTGCTCACACTCCAACAGCACGTCAAGTATTAAAAACCATTTGTCTCCATTCACTCCTATCAAACACGCTCACGCATGCCTGCTGGAAGTCCAAGCCCCTCGCACACAAAACCTCCTTTACCCCCTCCCTCCAACCCTTCCTAGGCCGACCCCTACCCCGCCTTCCTTCCACTACAGACTGATACACTCTTGAAGTCATTACTGTTTCGCTCCATTCTCTCTACATGTCCGAACCACCTCAACAACCCTTCCTCAGCCCTCTGGACAACAGTTTTGGTAATCCCGCACTCCTCCTAACTTCCAAACTACGAATTCTCTGCATTATATTCACACCACACATTGCCCTCAGACATGACATCTCCACTGCCTCCAGCCTTCTCCTCGCTGCAACATTCATCACCCACGCTTCACACCCATATAAGAGCGTTGTAAAACTATACTCTCATACATTCCCCTCTTTGCCTCCAAGGACAAAGTTCTTTGTCTCCACAGATTCCTAAGTGCACCACTCACTCTTTTTCCCTCATCAATTCTATGATTCACCTCATCTTTCATAGACCCATCCGCTGACACGTCCACTCCCAAATATCTGAATACGTTCACCTCCTCCATACTCTCTCCCTCCAATCTGATATTCCATCTTTCATCACCTAATCTTTTTGTTATCCTCATAACCTTACTCTTTCCTGTATTCACCTTTAATTTTCTTCTTTGCACACCCTACCAAATTCATCCACCAATCTCTGCAACTTCTCTTCAGAATCTCCCAAGAGCACAGTGTCATCAGCAAAGAGCAGCTGTGACAACTCCCACTTTGTGTGTGATTCTTTATCTTTAACTCCACGCCTCTTGCCAAGACCCTCGCATTTACTTCTCTTACAACCCCATCTATAAATATATTAAACAACCACGGTGACATCACACATCCTTGTCTAAGGCCTACTTTTACGGGAAAAAATTTCCCTCTTTCCTACATACTCTAACTTGAGCCTCACTATCCTCGTAAAAACTCTTCACTGCTTTCAATAACCTACCTCCTACACCATACACTTCGAACATCTGCCACATTGCCCCCCTATCCACCCTGTCATACGCTTTTCCAAATCCATAATGCCACAAAGACCCTTTAGCCTTATCTAAATACGTTCACCTTATATGTTTCCACTGTAACAACCTGTCCACACACCCCCTACCTTTCCTAAAGCCTCCTTGTTCATCTGCTATCCTATTCTCCGTCTTACTCTTAATTCTTTCAATTATAACTCTACCATACACTTTACCAGGTACACTCAACAGACTTATCCCCTATAATTTTTGCACTCTCTTTTATCCCCTTTGCCTTTATACAAAGGAACTATGCATGCTCTCTGCCAATCCCTAGGTACCTTACCCTCTTCCATACATAAGCCTATGAAAGACAGGCTTACTTTGTTGATGTGTTCCCAAAGCTACTGGTGATTGCAAAGTGAAGCCTTTAAGTGTCACTCTGAAACTCCCCAACCCTTCAGGC